TTTTAAATCCTTTCTTGTAAAAATGTATGGAACATGGCAAAAAGTTGCTTTTTGAATTTTTACAAACGTTTTTATAACTTTTAAAAACAACTACAACTTTTTATTGTGGTGATATTTAGTTTGGTGCAGTTCTGTTTAAATCCTACTATATATAAAAAAATAGTGTCTGTGTGTGTGTCTGTGTACATTTGCATGCAACTTCCGTCAGGTTGTTCCAGTCGTATCTCAAGAAGGAGAGTAGTTAGGGTCATGTTTGATACGTCATTAGGTGCATAATGTCCAGGAGATGACTGCACACACATCAGTTTTATCAAAATCGTCCATTTTCGACATTAAATTTTAGTTTTTGTTGAAAGTTCCGACACCCTCTTTGTTAGGAATCAATTAGCATATACCGGAAATGGGGAGAGCCTATATAAAGTAGCAGAGAGCGCATTTTTCACTTTTTTCAGCGTGGGTCGTGCCGAATTATGCAAAGTGTAAACCATCATTGGGTTGGACGGGGCCAGGGTTGAAAAGTCGCGAAGCGGCTTTTCAACCCTGGTTTAGTCTGTATTTTTTTTGCAGTATCGGGAGCTTTCGAAAACACTATAAAAATATTTTATTTTTTACAATGGAGGTCGGATTGAATAGAGGAAGTGATATCCCCGATAACCCTCCCCCGCGCTAACGCACCAGTACCGAAATATCAAAACTATAGCGTTACTAAATATAGCCGCCTTATCCTACAAAGCCAGCCTCGACGGTAAGCCGCTTTGCCCACGCCCTGGATCGGCAGCTTATCCCCCTTCCCCGCGTGGGCTATAATCTGCTCTAGCAGTCGGCGACTATTGTAGCCTGAAAATAGCGAAATCCGCTTTTCAGGCGATGACTAGCGTGCCATTTCAGGTAGATGACGTCAACGGGTTTGACGACTCGGTTGTGGAGAACTTCCTACAGCGCATCGAGAGGCACAACATCAAGAGGGAGGATTTGGACGTGGTAGAGTGATTCAGGAAATTCTAGATTAATACATGCCTTTAGACAAACATCTACGGCTACATCCACCTGTACGACTCGGTGAAGCTGTACGCGCTGGCGGTCAGGCAGACGCTCAATGAGGTGAAGGAGAGCTTTTGAATCTAAAAATTTTTGTTTTGTTACTTTAAAAAAAATCAGCTCTGGCTTAATAATCAAATCTAACGTAAATTTTATAGCGTTTTTAGTGTTTCGGATCGCCGAAAAGTTACATGAAATATCTTGAAAATCAGTAAAATTCTAGTTTTAGCGATTTTCAGTGATTTTTCAGCCTTTTAGCCATAAAGTAAACATCTTCTGAATTAATAACAAATTATATACTAAATTTTATAGGGTTTTTACTAGTTCCTAATCGTGATAAAGTTATATAAAACATTTTTAAGATACGTAAAATTCTAATTTTAGCGATTTTTAGTGATTTTTCAGACTTTAACCAGAAAGTAAAAATCATTAAAACATCTTTCGGTAGTTTAATAATGGTTTATACAGCTTGAAATTGCGTTAAAGGCGCAGAAAAAATACATTTAAAAAATTTAGACTGGAAACCCGGCGTTCGTCACGAACGGCGAGTACATTTGGAACAAGATGCGCCGGATGAGCTTTGAAGGTGTGGTTTAAATTTGGTTTAAACCATTTTTTACAGTTGTCGCAATGTTTGTTAATTTAAAATAATTTTAACTGGAATTTTCAGACATTTTGTGAGTTTTTTAGGCGTCATCTCGTTGGCGGGCACTGCCGGCAGTGAGGCTTCGATCGGCACGGTGCTGATGGACGATCTGGCCGATCGCGCGCCGATTTTCGCCGCATTTTATATCTCGCCGACCAGGTATACTGTATATGGGGCACGGTATGGGACGTCTTTGATTTTAGAGAAAAAGTGGTGAAGATTGTCAACATGGAGTCGCAGTTGCTGGCGAATTGTGATGGGCTCAAGAATCGGAGCGGATGTTTTGTTTTGGTACTGAAATTAAAGCTCGAGCAGCAGACTCTCCAAGGCTGGCAGAGGAAATTTAGGAATTGAGCCAAGACGGGCCCACTATGCAGAGGTCATTTGGGGGCTTTTTTGCATTATCGGGGGGGGCAACTTTTTCTTGGGTATCCAATTTTTATAAATATAAATCGAGGAAGTTTTTCTAAACTTTTTTACTATCCCTAAACGCGAAAACCTTACAAATGTTGGTTAAAATCTGCAAAAATCTCGATTTTTCGACCAAAAAACCCTGCTACCACACCCCCGATAATGCAAAAGCACCAAAATTTTTTTAGAAACTAAGCGACGTGTCTTCCGGGTTCTGGCCAAGCACCGACGGACACATGCCGTTGGATGAGCCGTTATGCGGGTATCGGGGTCAGCGGTGAGTTTCAGGAAAAGGGCAAGCTAGCTGGGTTTCTTTGATTCTACGCCTCGGCTAAAACCTAGGAAAACTACGCCAAAATTAGCGCGAAAATTCCAGATGCTCTTATTACCTCGAAATCACTATCGGAGCGGTGTGTATCGTGATTTTGGCGGCGTCCTGCTCTGGATACTGCGTTTACAAATATTGGTTTGTTTTTTAGAGGATTACAAATTTACTTAAAAGTTAAAGAAAATTATAAAGTATCAAAATTTAGACTGAAGGTGTTTTTTATGTTTTGAAAAACAAAATAATTTAGGGAGCAGCGTCAGCTGAACAAAATGCCCTGGCGCGTCTTCCACGACGACCTGAATTTCATCGACGAGGATCAGGTCAAGAGTATGGTAAGGGATTGGAGTGCGTTTAATCGGATGTTATTTTTATTTCAATGTTTATTAAATATTCTTTAGATGTCGATCAGTTCTCAAAATACGAAAATCTCGAATATGTCGACCGGACAGAAGAAGCACGTGATAATTGGGGTGAACACGCATGCAACGTATCATCGGTGAGGAGAATCGCTAGCAGAAACTATTTGCTAAAATAATGTCGAAAATCATATTATAGAAATTCATGCCGAAATAACGTCGAAATTTCAGAACCTCAAAATTAAAAATGTCGAAATTTCATAATTTGAAATATTTCACCATTCTGAAATTTCGGAATTCTGAAATTTCGATATTATGATTTTTTACATGTTGGTAGTAACCCAGCAGAAACCATTGGGGGATTTCTGAAAATATCTGCGGTATTATCAGCTTGAGGCTGCATAAAAATTACTAGGAATTTGCCCTATTTCAGCTACACACAACGCCGCCCGATCAAATTCGTCAACGAGGACTTGCAGCTGTTGACCCAGGTACAAGCCCCAGACCGAGGAGTACGGTAACAAGGGCACGGTTTAGATGAAGCAATGCGTGCACGACAACATCAACCCGTTCCTCGGGATGGCGTTCAACGAAAAGGAGGAGATGTTGGTGCTGTGGAAGTTCTGCTCGCGCGGTACTGTGCAGGTAGCGTGGCGTATTTCTTGAAAGAGAGAGAGAGAGAGAGAGAGAGAGAGCGAGAGCGAGAGAGAGAGAGCTACATCCAAAAATTGCCATTTAGGACATCATCTACAACAAGAGCATCACCGTCGACGAGAAATTCCATGCGGCTTTCGTGCGCGACATCACGCTGGTTAGAAATTTATAACTTCGAATTTTTGACAAAAATGGAAGCTTTTGAAAATCGGTGCTGTCGCATTATCGGGGGTGGCAGGGAGTTATCGGAACCGGGGTTTTTTTGGAAGTCCAGAGATGCCTCTTTTTTTGTGAAATTTAGCTATACAGGGTGTCCCATAAAAAAGCACCCCTCCGGCATTTTGCCCTGTTACATCCGATCGGTCCGAAATTTGGACCAGAGGTGTATCAGACCCTAAATAACCACAATCCTGACTTATAGCCCGCCAACTACAGTAATCTTCGAGATACAACAAAAATAAACTTTGTTATCCGTTTTTCATATGGTTTTCGTCGGAATCGACCCTTCGAATATTAAGTTTAAATGAAGCGGCAAGCCTCCTTTACCCCTAGAGATTTTTTCTGATTAAAATTAGTGAAATAGCCGTTGATTTCAACAATTTTTGTAACGCAAAGTCACCCCCGATATTAAGCGAAATTAGGGATTCACAGCCGGAAGTCGATGCAAATCGATGCAAAGTCCAAAAAGATAGCCGAGAAAACTAAAACCACGTAAAAAAAAACAGTATTTTGGCGATAACTCGAAAACTACTGTAGCGATCGGGCTATAATTCAGGATTGTGGTTATTTAGGGTCTGGTACACCTCCAGTCCAATTTTGGGACTGTTGGGATGTAATACAGGGAAATGCCGGAGGGGTGCTTTTTTTTGGGACACCCTGTATTTCAAGTCGAAAATTTTTAAAATGAAAAATATCGGACGTTTGGTTGAAATTTAGCCACTTTTGGCGAAAAAGGAAACCGTGGCCTTGGTACAGTAATTCTCGCTGCCCCCCCCCGCTAATAGTGCAGAACCATTTTTGTGTAGGGCCTGGAATACCTGCACGCCAGTCCGATTGGATACCACGGCTCGTTGACACCGTGGTGTTGTCTGATCGACCGGAATTGGATGGTGAAAGTGTCCGATTTCGGCATTGCCAACCCGTTGGAGAGGTGCAGTAACTTAACATCTGCAATTTTTGGTCAGGTGGGAAAAGCAGGGCGCGATCTACGTGGATTCGGCCGCCGACGAGAATGATCGCAGCCAGGCCGCCCAGACGACCAGTGCGTTTGTTAAAGACGCTTAAGCCTAAGCCTAAGCTAAACGGAAGTCTAAGCCTAAGCCAAGCCTAAGCCAAGCCTAAGCCAAGCCTAAGCCAAGCCTAAGCCAAGCCTAAGTCCTAGCCTAGGCCTAGTCTACACCTAAGCCTAAGCTAAGCCTAAGCATAACCTAAGCCTAGGCCTAAGCCTAAGTCAAAGTCTAAGCCTGTCTAAGTTTAAGTACTACAAAAAGTGTACGATATACGCCCCATTTTTCAGGCATTCTGTACCAGCCACCGGAAATGCTGAAAAACCGTGAAGCCAACAAACGGCGGGGAATGGATCAGCAATGGTTGAAGCAGACGCTGGTAAGCGGTTGCGAAGGTTTCAAGGGAGCTCGGCTAGTTTGCCTCCAATACCTCAGTGCTCTGCTAGCTCACATCTAATTCCTCACGATCTCTGCTAGCCCGCTTCTAATTCCCCAAGCATCTCTGCTAGCTTACGGCCAAACGGTCCCTAAAAATCTCTGCTAGACTACCCATCCCATGTCCCATTCAGAGTCGTCGCCAGGCCGGCGACATCTACTCGTTCGGGATGGTGATGTACGAGATTTTGTTCCGGTCGTTGCCCTACCGTGACCACACTGATATTAATGGTACAGCATCCTTATTTAACGGCTCTAACGCGTCGATCTGTTTTTTCAGCGCTTTGCGCCGGGATCCAGGAGGGCGGTCGGGTGCCGTCTCCGCAGATTCAAGACGAGCTGGGATGTCATCCGGATTTGTGTGCATTGCTGAGGTGGGAGAGGGGTTGCTGTAGTTCCAAAGGGGAAAGGCCAAAATACCGATAGCCAAAATACCGACGGCTAGAATGCCGACAGCCAAAAGACCGACAGCCATTCTTGCCTTCCTATTCCCTTTAAAATCAAGTTTTCTCTAGGGACTGCTGGTCAGAAAACCCGGAGATCCGGCCGAGTATCCGGCGAGTACGGCTCAATACGGAATCCGTGCTAAAAACCAAGGGATCGTTGGTGGATCAGATGATGCGGTTGATGGAGCAGGTACTCTCTCTTTCTCTCTCTCTTTCTCTCTCTCTCTCTCTCTCTCTCTCTCTCTCTCTATCTCTCCTCCAACCCACTCCCCCTTTACAGTACGCGAACAACCTGGAAAAAATTGTGAAGGAGAGAACAGGAATGTTGGAAGAAGCGAACATTCGAGCCGACAAGCTTCTCACCCAACTCCTGCCAAAGTATGCCTATAGTAGGGATATTTCATTAGCTTTATCTAGGTACGTCTCGAACGAGCTGAAAATGGGCCGCGCCGTCCCGCCGAAGCTCTTCAACTCGGCTACTGTGCTTTTTTCGGATATCGTTGGTGAGTTCAGCAGCAGCAGAACTTGGCAGAGACCATTTGGAAATTCGGCAGATTTTTCAGCCCACTTTTCCAGGTTTCACCACCCTGTGCTCCTCGTCGACCCCGCTCGAGGTGGTGAACATGCTCAACGGGCTGTACACCGGTTTTGACGAGTGTATCACGAAGAATGAAGGATATAAGGTAGCTGCCGAACCCCTTCAAAATACAGTACCCCCGCCTAGGTGGAGACGATCGGCGACGCGTACATGGTAGTTTCCGGAATTCCCGAGGAAAACGGCGTCAACCATATCAAGCACATTGCCAATATCGCCCTGGATATGCGCGAGGTGAGAGAGAGAGAGAGAGAGAGAGAGAGAGAGAGAGAGTGGGCGAGGCCGTGAAATTTACTTGGCATGCTCCTTTAAAAGGTTCTTTTGCGTTATCGCTGGGGGGAGGGGTGTTATCAGGGGATATAAATAGATGAGCAGTTTTAGACAGTTTTCCACTTGAAATAAATCGAGCTTTTTCTTGCTATTAGGTTACTAAGCATTTCTAGACCTGTAGAAAATCTCCACCCCCCACCCGATAATGTAAAAGCACCTATTTTCAAAAATTTTATGTAATTTAACCCACCGTACTCCATTTACATTTTTACAGTACCTAACGACGTTCGAAATCCCGCATCGACGCAACCAACGGATCAAATGCCGTTGGGGATTCCACACGGGACCCGTGGCCACCGGTGTCGTCGGTCAGACGGCGCCTAGATACTGTCTGTTTGGCGATACGGTAAGAGAGCAGCTTTTAGGGAAACGGCTGGTTTAGGTGAATACGGCGTCGCGGATGGAGTCGTCGGGGATGCCGGGAATGATACAGTGCTCCAAGGTTGGCAAGCTAGCAAGAAGAACTTGGGAATTGAGTGGATTTCGACAAAATCCCGACAACCAAAATCCCGACAGTAAAAATCTCGACTCGACAGCTTAAAAGGAAGTGGCGTTCACGGTAGCGTCAAGAATTTGTCGGTATTTTGGTGCCGAGATCTGGCCTATCGGCATTTTTCCTGGAGGTAGCCTAGCAGTGTTTATTTGGGATGTCCGCCAATGGCTAGCTAGCAGAAACCATTTAGGAACGGGAATCTGTGTCCTAGCCTGCGCTTGGGCAAACTAGCATCTAAAATTTGAAAATCAGCGCTTTTGTTCCCTTTTTAGACCTCAGGCAAGCTAGCAGAGATCCTTTGAGCAGCGGTGGTAAAACCGTTTTCATTTCCAGGAGGCCCACAGCTTCATGCAGGCCAACTTCGACACGTTCAGGACGTCGGAACGTGGCGAGATCGAGATCAAGGTGGGGAATTTTGAAACAATTGCATAAAATGAAGGTTTCGAAATTTGCATAAATCGCAATTTTTAGGGCAAGGGCCCGGCGGTAACGTATTGGCTGGAGGGACGTATCGAGGCGCCGGCGCAGCCGAAATTTGACAATCTTGGTTTTTAAATCCTATTAATTTCAACCTTAAATGATTTTTCCTATAATCTTGGCATTCAAAAATCATCATATTTCTATCGTATTTTTGTAGTTTGGTAAATTTCCATATGCCGAGTTTTTTGCAACTCGCGTTACTTTTCCACTGCATTGACCACCGGCCAACATTTCAGAGTTTTTAGAAAATGGATTTCGACGTTAAAAATATAGGCCCCTTGAAGGCAGAGCGGCACCCCCAAGGACGTTATGGATTTCTGGCCTTAGCGGCCCTTTAGCTGGCTTACTACTTCATTTTTTGAGGTTTGTGCAGTCGAAATAAACGTGTTTTATCGAGGATCTTTTCTATAAGAGCTACAGTGCACACTACGGTGCGCTTCAATACGCAACAGTACCATGAACGCTACTGTAGCTAGCGTAATCTACGGTACGCATCGACACCACAAAGCGATACTACGTACACTACGCTACTATAGTAAGCCTGAGTAGTATACCCTACAGTATTACAGTACGTTCTTCACTACGGTAGCTAAAGGATTCAAACAGCTAAATACGGCTTGAATCCGGACGTGACCGTCCTTTTAGAAGTCCTAAAAGCTCCCGCTCTAAGGCTATAGGAGGGCGAGGGCCCGCCCCTTCACCTGGGTCGCCCCCTTCTCGATGGGCCCTTTGTGGTTGGCCCCCGGCCATTTCTTCCCCGCCCGGATCTTCACTCCTCCTCCTCCACCAGCCTTCTTCCATTCTCAAAAATGATGAGAGCCCTCCTCGTCACCCTCCTCGCCTCCATCCTCGTCCTACGGTAAGTGGAGGGTCGATTATAACTGGGTTAAAGGGGTTTTTAAGTCAGAGAGGAAGCTGGCAAGCTAGCGGGGGATCTTTGGGAGGAGCTAGGGAAGGAGAGAGTACAGGTTAGAAGGCTTATGATTGGGCCTAGGCTTAGGATTAGGGTTTGGCGTTGGCTTAAGCTTGGCTTAGGCTTGTATTAAGCTTAGGTTTAGGCTTAGGTTAAGCTTAGGTTTAGGCTTAGGCTTAGACTTAGGTTAAGCTTAGGCTTAGGCTTAGGTCCTGCGCTTAATAACGGCCAAAAGATTGTCCTGTCAGAATTTTGGCGCTTGGGTCTGTGGCTGGAATTCCCATTCAGCCTTCCCGGTCCCTTTAATCGCTCCATAATCCCCCTAGAGCATCCCCTTTTTTGTCCTAGGCAAAACAGGGTCCACGCTCATTGTATTATTTTGCATCAGCCGCCCGGTCTGGCCGTTGACATCAAAAATTATTTTTCCGGTACTAATGGAACCCGGGGGGAGAAGCCGGATATAGCCGAGGGGCTCGTGCCAAAAATCGCCATATAGGGGGGCCATTTTGGGGGGTCGAGGCAACGATGCTCGGGTATTCATGTCGTCTTCTTCACATCATGGACGACGCATCCCAATGTTGCTCTCTCTCTCTCTCTCTCTCTGTCTCTCTCTCTCTCTCCTTAAAAATATCATCCCTTTTGTGCCATCCTGACCTCCTAAAAGATGCCCTTGTCTCCCCCAAATCTAATTCCTTCGGCCCGCTGAAAGTGAAGCGTGTAAACGGCGAGCAAATTCCACGAATTTACTCGTTTAACCCCCCCGCAGCCGATGTGTTTCGGCATTTGGCGCGAGGCCAGCCCAAACGAGCCGATCGAAGACCTAATTTGCGGTTTTTTTAAGGGATTGATATGGGGCAAATTTTTGAGGAAGGAAGAAACTTGAACTAGGCCTAATAAAGAGCCGTTTTAAGTGCATTTTAGAGTTTTGCGATGTGACCTGGAGTTGATACGATCGATCCTGAACAACACTCATCTTTTTAAAAATTTTGCACGGCTGTTGCTGCGGAGAAAAAGTTTCTCAAGGTTTAAATGGGCTAGTAGATAGTTTAAGCAGCTCTCATTTTCTGGCAAATTTAGTACAACGATTGTAAAGAATCCCCGGCCCCCACACTCTTTTCTTCGAGACCGGAAGCAAAATGGCGTTCCCCCCCTGTCGACGGGTAAAAATTGACTCCCCCGCCCTTTACAAAGTCAAATGAGGTGATGATGTTCTAAGAGGTGGCTAGAATCCATGGGGACATTCGAATTATACACCAGCCAACGGGTAAAATGGGTCTCTAGATTACCAATTCAGCACACATCGTTTGAGACACCACCTCGCCGATTAGGGAGGGCAGAATAGAAGAATAGACTGAATAGGGTTGCTGTCCGGATTATGGCTGGAGCTCTTTGCTAGCTTGCCTGGGCTCGTAACAATTTCTCGGAAAAATTCGAGTCATCCGATTTTCGATCTTTACTTTGGTGGTACGACTAGCAGAAGCGGAGGCAAGGGTGCGGTTTATAAATGGAAGAGGAATTGGTTGCGTTTGGAAGCGAGAGAGAGAGAGAGAGAGACAGCGAAAGAAAGTGACGCCAAGGATCCGGAAGCCAATTCCACAATTTGCAATTAATGGATGGCCAGTGGTGTTGGGGGTGGGATTGTTGTTTAGCCTCCCTAGCGGCTGAAGATGCTAGACCCAGATTTCTGACCTCATGTTAGGCTAAAGAAAGCGGAAATTGGTTCCAGATTTAGTCGGAGAAATTTTTGAGCCTAAAAAATTAAATTTATTGAATTAACCTTAATTTTCAGGTGCACCGCGCAGCCGATCGACGACCACGAGGCGCAGGCTTTCTACAACCGCAGAATGTAAGGAGTTTTGGCAAATTTAGCGGGGGTGAACGCCTCGCCTGGCTAGTTAGTTTTTGTTATATCAGGCCTATTAAAAGAATAGTAAGTATTGAAAGCATTTAAAGTAAAATTTAACTAGATTTTAAATGGAAAAACCCATTCAAAAATTTGAAAATCTAAAATTTTAATCGAAAATCGGCCAGCTTTGCTCTAAAAATCGTTTTTTTTTTGTTGTATTTTTTCTTATAAATTCGTAAGGTTTTTGCGTTTAAGCAAGACAAAAACAATTTAGAAACGTTTTCTTTGTTTATTTTAGTGAAACTAGATACTAAGAAAAAGCTTATTTCTCTCCAGCTCGCCCCCCCGATAATGCACTAGAACCTTGAAATACATAAAATCGTAACGTAACGTTGCCTCAGCGTCCAAGCGTTGCGTGTGCGTCGAGTGCTGAAAAGGCGTGCTTTGCGTGCTCCTTTAAAATCGGGAATTTTTACAAAAATTTTGCTCTTGAAATTTTTCCAGAAATTCTTGAGGCCGTTGGTGCCAGTTTTAACGGGTTTTTTTAAGGCTTTTTCCGCGCTACCCAAATTCCGTATGCGCATTAATGGGCGTGTTTTTGCAGGGCTGCCCTCCGACAATTCGAGACGGCTCGAGCACTGGCCAGCCCGTGGAATCAGGAGATGTCGAAACGGTCGCCCCACCAGGTAGTCGGCCAGGCAGAGAACTAGAGTGTTCTGCACGGTTTGCCGTGATTTTTAATATATTTAATTGTTGAAAATGGAACTTTATAGTAATAAAATAATGATGAAAGTAGTAATGAAAAGCTAAAATGAATTTAACAATTCAAAAAAGCTCGAATCGGAACAGATTTTCGAAACATTTTTCGGCTTATTTTCATTTTGCCGAAATTTCAAAGAAATTTCGATAAATTTTTTACCTCAATTATTCATATAAAAATTCCGCAAATCGACATTTCAGCGCATTGAAATTTCGACAAAATGATTTTCAACAAATGATCTTTCGAAATTTCGAAAAATCTATATACACTTCGAATTTCCGATCACTTTTAATAACGTTATTTTTTCCGATTTCTTGAGGTAATTTACGGCTTTTGTATCATCAGGAATCACGATTCTGTCGTCCGTTTATATCTATAAAAATATATGTCAAAACCAAGCTCAATTATCTATCGTAGTTCATCAAAATTTGCATAAATTATTCACAAAAAAATCCCCATTCAACCGGCGGGCAAATTGAGGTAACTTGAGGCGCCGCGAATAGCGCGCCGTCGAGCGCAGAAAGTATGGTGGTGGTTGCCGAGCCGAGCGTATATTCTCCCCGCTTCTTCTCTTGGTTTATTATCGGTTTATCCTCGGTTTAAAGGGACCCGGAAGCGCCAGAATCTACCCCCCGTGGTAGCTAGGTCCCGACAGTCACGTTCCGGTCCAAAGCCGTTATAAAGTCAGCTTTAAATCCGGGGTTTTGGAACGAAACGTAGCGGTCGAGAACAAGTTGTTTGAGGGGTCGAATAAAACGTTTCAGTGATTTTTTAAAGGGTTTGGTTTTAAGTCGAAACGCGCCGTTCAAAAACGACTTTGAAAGCAGCAAAAGTGCGGTTTGTCGCAAAGCTTATCTTTCGAGACCTAGCCGATTAAGGGGTCGATTCTACCATGCCACCGTTCCTTTAAAGGGTTCGGCAAGTTTCACAAGCCATACTCCCAGATATCTACCGCTTCCCGGCCCCTTTAAAAAAGTCCTCCCCGGCGCCAATTCGAATATTTTTTCCAGCCAATTTCCGTTAAGCCTTGGTTAACTGCCTGCTAGGCTTGGGCTTAGGCCTGGGGCTTAGGCTTGGGGTGTGGGGATCGGTCGGAATTCCCGGAGATAGCCGTTGCAGATCGAGCAGCGGGCCGCGCTCAACTCGTTCAAGAACTGCTACTTCTCCCCCATCCAGTGTGTTCTCATGGAGAAGCGGAGAAAGTGAGGTAGGTGGCGGTTTTCGGGTCCACCTTTGTCGGTTTCGCGCACGACGCGGTCGCGTGGCAGGCAGAGCTCACTGGCTATGCGATAGCGTTACTGCGGGAGTTCAATCGCGAAGCGGTCGCGTCGCGGACGGAGTTCGCGCGCGATGCGGTCACGTTACGGGCGGATTTGACGCGCGTGGCGGTCGCGTTACTAGCGGTGTTCACGTGGGAAAAAAGGCACGCGCGCGCAGCGTGCGTTGCGTGTCGCGGCTGCGGGGAAATCCATTGAGGTCTAAAGCCATCACAATCCATATGCTTCCTTTTAAAAGGACCGGGCAGGCTAGCAAAAACCTTTGGAATAGATTTTCCACGTTCGATTTTACGAATAAGCCGGTAATTCTTGGAATAATTCTTAAAAAATTGGATTCCAAAAGGTTAAAAATAATCTAGCTTAGGTGTAATTAATTTACTCGAATTTTAGCTATCCCACGTCCATCACCAACATCAACCAACAGCAGCAAGACCCTTCCTCCACCTCCGCCCGCCCAAACAATATTTTGTCGAATTGTCGCCTGAATAAAGATTTGTTATTTACAACACATGCCTCTCTCCACACCCTTTCACCTAGGCAAGAACTCGAACAAGCACAATGCCACATTATGGCAAGGCTCGATTTCCGGGTTTGGTTCGCCTGGAGAGTGACGGGCTACACCAACTTAGACACGCATAGAAACTAGGAAATAGTTGAGAAAACGGAAGGTTGGCGTAGACTTAAGCTTATGCTTTGGCTGGACTTATGCATAGGCTTCGACTCAGGCTTAGGTTTGGCATTAGGCTTAAATTAGGCTTCGCATAGCTTAGGCTTAGCTTAGGCTTAGCCTCGGGTTTATGCTTGGACTTAGGCGTATGCTCAAACTTAGCTTAGACTTAGTTTAGGCTTAACACCGGTTTAGAGTAGGCTTAGCTTAGGCCTAGGATAGGCTTAGCTTAGGCTTGACTATAACATTGTTTGTTCCGACTAATTGCGGCTTTTCGTAGATCCGTGGAAACGCTCTCACTAATTCACAAGCTCCCCAAAAATTCTGCTCACTTCCGGACTCTCCTAAAAAAACACCTTTCATCAGTCAGCTACCGTAGTGCTTGATGGACATCCCGAACCCCCAAAAATTTCCCATCCACACACAAAAAGGGGCATTCCGATTGCGGGCCATTGATAGGGCCCGCATCGCGATAGTGGGCCCAGCTAAATTGATGCGGGAATTTTTGCGGAGTCCCAATCGTCAAATCGGCAAAATTCCCAGGGCCCCCGCAATGTGGCCATTGAATTCGGGTCGGGTGGGGGAAGTGAATTTGAATGTGTGGGCGTTTTGGAGGTGGCATCCAAAAGGGGCTCCCGTCATTTGGTAAATAACGGAACTTTCGAAATGGATCGAAAAAGTATAAGAACATATAAGTCCAAAAATGTCCAAGGGAGGCTGGGTTGTTTGAGAAAGAAGATTCTGCCTCTAGCGAAGTCGAAGTCAAAGCCAAGCCTAAGGTTGATCCTACGCCTAAGCGTAAGCTCAAGTCGAAGATGGGTCAGCCTAACCCAAGCCCAAGCCTAATTCTAAGCCTAATCCTAATCCTAAGCCTAAGCCTCAGTCTAAGCCAAGCCTGAGCTTAAATTTAGCAACAGATGCCGAAGCCTAATCTTAACTTAAGCTTGAGCTTAAGCCTCATAAGCCTCATAAGCCTAAGGTTAAGCCTAGCCGCCGAAGCCGCAGCCTAATCTACCCTCATGGCTAGGCATGAGCTTAAGCCCAAGCAAAGCCTGAATCGAATCCTTAGCCAACACTAAAGCCTAAGCACAAGCTAAGTCTGAGCCTAAATTTAAGGCTAAGCAGAACGCTAAACCAAGGCCGAAACCTAAGCCCAAGCTAAGAAACCTAAGAAACCTAAGCCCAGTCAGGACGAAGGTTTCGATTTCCTTTCTAGGATTTCGCCAAATTCAGAGATCTACAAGAATAATTTGCAAACCCTAAGAAATGGCAAAACTGCAAATTACTCGGCATTGCGAACTGCAGTTTGACGGGACCAAAATCCGCCGCATCGTCACCCAAACTCCGTGGTCTCCAAAATTGTACAGATGACGCGCGCGCGTTCTCACGACTCTGCTTTTTACCAGAATTTCGTATTGTGCCCAGCTTTTTACCTCCGGCTCACAGCCGACAGCTCGGAAAAACGTCAACCGGAATTAGGCGCCCGGGCGGTCTTGAGAAATTCAGATGCCGCGGGTAAAACGTTGGCCAGAAAGTTGTCATGGTGCCCCTGATTCAAGAATTTCGATGGGAGGGCGGCCATTTTCGGACTGGCCGAAGGGGGATTTTCAGAGGAAAATTATTTTTGGGGGACCGTTTCTGTGGTGTAGAAGAGATTTTGGAGAATAAACAAACTGGGGATTGTAAAAAATGGAATTAACAAGCTAAGAAGTATTTTTTAGGATTCCGAAGCTACCATCCAACGGTAGTGGAACATAGCGGTCGCGCCGCGTGGCAATATTTTTGGGCAAGCTAGCAGAGGCCATTGAGGAGCGCAACACGGCTACTGTCCGATGGAATGCGAGGGCAATAAGGTAATGTCTGGGGCAAGCTAGCAGAGGATATTTAGGAACAGTTTTCGCGGTTTAACAAAGCTTATGAAATAATTGCTAAATCTCTCTCAATCTCTCACTCTCTCGTTACCTCGAGCTCCTTGACTCTATCTGGCTCTCTATATCTCTCTGGCACGCTCCTCGCTCTCTCTCTCTCTCTCTCTCTCTCTATCCCTCTCTCTCTCACTGTCACTCTCTCACTCTCTCCCTCTCCCTCGCCCTCTCTCTCTCTCGCTCTCTCTCCCCGTCGGGTGGCGACAAAAATGGTAAATTATTGAATAACCCTCCAAAAAGTGGGAAATCTAGCTGAGACCCCTTTAGCAATCCCGTCGACTTGAGACTCCCCAAATAGGGGCTAATTTCACTTCGCAATCAATCTAGATATTCCCGCATTCCACCTTTCTCGTCAGGCCATCAATTTCAACTTGACGCTTATTGATGAGGGGGAGGTGGTTGATACGGGATATATCAATCGGAGAACGGGGGGCTTTCGCGAGAATCCCCCATTCGCCAGTCCTTGACTATTTGATATGAAGGCGAACAACCCCCTCGGTGTTGCTCCCTTGCTCCCCCAATCCCGATTGGAGCACCAAGGCCATTCGACTACCCACGATGCCCTTTTTCAGTCACAATCCGCACCTTCTTGTATGCATCGGATAATTCTTGGGCACTTTTCAGGAACGATTGTTTTGGATAAGTGCGCATGTAATCTCTCGCTTTCTCTCTCTCTCCCTCTCCCTCTCTGTCGCTCTCTATCCCGCACTCTCTCGCACTCTCGCAGTCGCTCTGTTTCTCTTTCAGCCTATCTCTGCCTCGCTCTCTCTCCCTCTCTCTATCTCTCTCGCTCTCCATCTCACGCGCTCTCTCTCTCTCTCTCTCTCTCTCTCTCTCTCTCTCTCTCTCTCTAGCTCTCTCTTACCATGATAGTCCAAAATTATCAAAACTAACTACCTTAAATACTACCTACCTAGCAACTAACGCTGCGGTGTAGACCTACAATTCCGCCGCGTACTCTGCCCGGCCATGAGCACAGATAATCGGTCCCAATTTTCTGTTCCGACTGCTCGGGCTCACAAAAGACGCTGAATGCCGAATTTCGAGAAGCTGAAGAACCGGAAATTTCTGACTGCTCACTTTATATACTTCGCCTCTCCCCCCCCCCCCCCCCCCCTCTCCCCCTCCGCCGCCCTTGTCTCTTATCTCTCTCTCGCTCTCTCTCTTGCTCCCTCTGGAGTTACGTCTTGTGTTAATTTCCTGTGCACCAAGAATATTTAGAAAATTTGGTTTCTTCCCATTTAAAAGGAGCTTTAGAACCTGCTTTGTGGTTAGCTCGGTTTCGACAGATACGCCACATTCCAAAATACGCCCCTAAACTATGCGACATCTCGCGTTTTTAGACGCATTGAAGCTAAATTTAATGTGTTTTAGGGCTTCCTGTAGCTGTCGAGACCTAGCCCACGAAGAGGTCGATTCTCGCGTTTTCTAGCCCCTTTAAAGAACTTCGCCCGGTCCCGACTCGTCCATAAGCAGTTTGAGGTTGGATGAAATGGATCCTCCCTTTCTGGCCCCTTGAACCCATACAAAAGCGGGGGGGTTGACCCCATTAACAGAACGGGCCGGTTGAGGCTAGAAAGGTACCTAGCGAAAACGGATTTCACTTTTCGATCTTACTTTCTGGCTGATCTTGCTTATTTAATACATTACTTAGGTTTTGCTACGATATATACTACACTATGCTATAAGCTACATTAAACGTATTAGGTTTCACCCCCGTTTTACTTTTTTTTTGATACGTGCCTTACCATACCTATGAGCTATGCTGCGCATTTACCCTTTATAGCTTGCCAAGCGTAAGCAAACCCCTATTAGGATTTTTTGTTGCGCACATTTCGGTATTTACGAGCAACGCTACGCTACGATAAGCCACTATTTCCCCAACCCGGCAATCTTCCGGAGGGTAAAATTGTAATAAAAAGGCCCACATGAAAAAGCCGACATCAGGACCAGCATATTTTTTAAAACTTTTTTTTTTTGCGATCTCAGCCTGAGGTTTTTTATTTTGCCTTCTGTTTTTTGTATTTAAAGTGACATTTAAGTCTGGTTACAGTCCTAGAAAATCTATTCCAATCCGCCGAAGGGTACACAGTTTAGCTGGCTACTCCAAGATCGAGGGGAACCACTTTGGGCTGATGCTGCTGTGGGACCTTCGATGAGTCAACACGCAAACCGTCCGGAACCCCTCCAGGGTCTTCACATGGTAGAGAGAGAGAGAGAGAGAGAGAGAGAGAGAGAGAGAGAGAGACTTCACGTACCGCTAAACAGACAACACTCAAGCCACGACGGGACGACAACACCCAATTTCCAGTCGACTTTACCATTTTTGGGGTT